GAAATTAAATAGCTCATAGAATTAATATAGAGAAAATCTAAAAAAAAAGAAAATTCAAGTAGCAGGCCTTATATATGCAGATAACACAGCTTTTATAGCAAACTCCAAAGTAGCAATACAAAATATAGTTGAAATCACAGAGTCTTTTTTCAAACTTAATAATATTGAGATTAATGAGAAAAAACTGAGCTTATAGTTATAAATCCAAAAAACAAGACAAAAAAAAAAAAATTTCATAATAAGAGAAAAAAAAAAATAGTAGCAAAATATTTGGGGGTCTGGCTTACAGCAGCAGATTCCAAACAAATAATTAAAAAAAACTTGGTCTCAAAATTAAACAAATTGCCTAGCTACTATTTAGGAAAAGAATTTCTATAGAGCATATAAAGTATATAAACAATATAGTAATATTTTTCAAAGCCAAATACAAATTAAATTTGATAATTTTAACCAAAAGAAAATGGAAGAAACTACACCAACCAGTTTTATGAGTTGCAAAATAGAAAGCAAAAATGGCTTCAACTACATACTGTTACAAGAAAATATATAGGGAATTAACAACATTATACAAAATATATAATTACAGAATAGGTAGTTAAAATTAATAATTTAAATTTAGTAGGTGATCTTAATAGAATACATGTGAAATATGCTTAGCTTATACTAATTTACAAAGCCAATCTGGCTCCTGATACAAGAAAAAATAAAATTATACAAATAAAAAACAACCTCAATATAGCTATACTAGTAGCAGCAAAAGAATTAAATATTAGTATTAAAAATTCTAATTAGAAAGAAAATTGAAATATAGCTTCCAGAAATAGTAAAATAAATAAGCTAAGAGTATTAATTTACAAAAAAGCTCTAAAAAAATATAGCCTCAGTCTGAAAAGCTTAAAAATCCAATATCTAAAACAGATAATTTCAAGACATGATAATATTATATTTACTTGGTAACAAATTCATAGAGTACAAGATTTAACAACTAAGGGTCAGGTACTACTCTGGTTTTAAAGGCTAAAGGAAACAGTACTCACAAACAAATCCTCTTGCAAGATTAAAAAATTTTTAATACAAGAAAACAAAACAAACAAAAAACAAATACCAACAAAAAAAAAAAAACTATTACACAAAAGATCAAAAAAAATTGAGTAGTAAAAACAAAAAATAAAAATAACTCTTATTTTATAAAAAGAATTCAAAAAAAACTTTCAAACAAAAAGATTCAAGTAATCAAATGAAAAGAAGAGAACAAAGAAAATAAAACCTATATTATCTCTTTCAAATCAGAAATAGGCTCTACTTCTAATATCTTAGAAGCAAAAAAAGATAAATTAAAAAATATAAGCTCCTAAATTAAATAAAGAAATGTGAGGAAATGTGCTGCTTCCATTAATTTCAAATATCTCAAGAACCTGGTAGCAGCAGAAGAAAAAGCTCAAAATAAAAGAACCAAAAAAGAAATAGAAATTTCTTAGTAAAGAGTACTATAAAAAATGAGAGTAAACAACAAAAGCTAATACAAGCAGCAAAAGAAACTCAAATTTATAAAAAAATAACTTACCACATAGATAGTTCACTTGGTGAAAGAGGTATAGAAAACTATAAGGCAGAATTTGGAATAATTTAGATAGATAAAAGAGATAATATAGTAAGAAAACGTAAAGGTAAAATTCAAAATCCTTAATCAGATCAGTACTTATAGCAATACTAGACACTCTACTAATATCACCAAGCAATTGCAAAATAAATATCTTTACAAATAGTCTAGTAGCAATTCAAGCAATAAAGAGAATTCAGAAAACTAAAAGTACAAGAATATGGTACAAAATCAAAAACTTGAGTATTTTAAGAGCTATTGCCAAGAATCTAAATACTAAAAACTTATATATACTGTTGAACCTCTCAAAATCAATCTTCTTAAAACTGATAACCTGTCAAATCTAATAGAAAATTAGTTTACCAAGTTTGTTTCTATTATATAAATCTACTAGTTTATAATATTTTCAAATCTGATAACTTCTCAATACTGATACAATATCTGTCCACTATACATATCAGTTTGGGTAGGTTCAACAGTATATCTCTTTAAGATCAAAGCACATACAGATAATATACTAAACAATCTAGTAAACTGAGTAGCAAAAAGAGGTTCAGAAAAAACTATAGCAACAGATATTAGTATAAATAAAACTCAGAGAATAGTTTTTAGACCAATATAAAGAAACAAAGCAATTAAAACTCCAATTTGTAGCTTTCTCAAGAAACTCATACACACCTTTCACAAGATTAAATGGCTATTTATAAAAAATACCAAAAATACAATCTATTTGTGAAGATTGGTGAAACAAGATTGGAAAATCTTTAGAAGTCTGTGAAAGAAGAAAAAACAAAAAAAAGAAAGATTCTTTAAAACAAACAAGAAATGGATTTCAAACTTAAAAGCTTAAATGGTTTGCTCCTTATACTTCAAACTTGCAAAAAAAATTAAAAAACCTATACCCAATAGCTATACAGAGAACTCTCTCTAAATACATACTCTTGGGACTGAACTTTAATGATGTGCATTTAGAGAACAATAAGAAAAAGTGCATTTAGAAAGGTTATCTATATATTTGGGCCCAAATTTAAGCATATATTTAGAGAGGGTATACTTAGAGAGGGTTCTTTGTATGTAGAAAATATAGAGAAAAAGAAAAGATTTCAACCACCTATCTGCCTGTAAAGCTGATGAAAACAAGTAGTTAAATAAAGAGCAAGCAATTATAAAAGAAATTTAAAATAATTTTAAAATTCATATAAAAAAGAAGCTTCTTATAAATACACTACACTATGCTCTATTAGATATAGAAAAAAAAGAACAAATATAGAAAAGAAAGAAAATAGCAAAAGGTCTAATCAAACAAATTAATGATATTCCAAAATAAATCTCCAAAATGATAATTTTTAAATAGTAGAACAAGTAGTACATATTTTTTTAAAATATTATATAGCTACAAAGATGCAACAAAGTAGCAATCTGGAAAAAGAATTATATATAGACTCTAAAAAAAAAAAAAAAAAAAAAAAAAAAAAAAAAAAAACCAAATTGGCTTCAAATCAAAAAGAAAATGTAGAAAAGAACAAGAAAAACCACTCTTGATAAATACAAAAAAACAAGAAAAAAGAAAATAAATCAAACTGGTAGAACAATTTTAAAGAAAGATTAGACATAGTAATAGAGGAAGTTAATAACTAGATATAGACTAGTAAATGATTCAGGTAAAATAAAAACTAAAATAGATCATGACAAGCCATAGATTCTGGCTAATGAACTGTGAATTTATTATCTGAGATAGATAAAAAAAAGTAGAAAAGCTGATTCTACTTTGGCAGATTACACATAGATATCAATAGGCAACCGGGTAAGCCATACTTTAGTTTTAAAAATAGCATAGCTATAAATAAAAATTACATTTTGTTGAAAATGTAAAATCTATATCAAAAATAAAGTTATAACATAATCACCAAAAAAAAAAAATATTAATAAAGTTGGCCTGATAGCTTGATGTTGTGTATAAATTATATGAATTTATTTATCAATATATGGGCTAAGTGCTGAGAAAAGGAACAAAATTAACAAAAAAATTCTTCAGAAAATCAGTAAATCTTATAATAAATCATGAAGCTATATTGCAAACTTTACCAAATACAATTACTTTTGTGTCTTAAGTAAAAAATGATCCTAATCTTATTCTAAATTGATTTATGTAAAAAAAAAATCTTGAAAAAAATTGTCAATTTCATCCCTTTTCTCAGTACCTAGCCCATATATTAACTTGCATATAATCAAGAATTTTTAACCTTTGGGCATTTCTTCAGAACTAAAAATTGAAATCATTTTATATAAAGTAATGGCAGATTCACAAACTATAATTGCTTCTTTAAGAGAATTAAATTCTAAACTTACAATTAACTTAGAAAAAGTATGCTAAGATTGAAGCTAGGATTCAAAGTTAATGCAGATTATAGAAAAGAGTACTGAATTTAAGACTAGTTTCGAGGATTCTGAAATTAAGCACCTTTTTTTTGCATGCGATGCAGACCAAAATTGACATAGTGCTTATTTTCGAAATGGTACGGTAATTCTGATATATATCAGGAGTCGAATTTTCAATACTCTGAACCACTTATTCCACAGACGAATGAATCCATACCAGTTAACTATCGGGTTCTCCTATCATTTACAGAGAGCAAACTGTATTTGGAAATATGGGCTGCCGTCAATAGAAATCAAGCAGATTAACATTTTAAAAAAAGTTAATCCCTTAACTTTCACAACTTATATCTCGATGAATTTTGAGGTTATCTTGATAAATTAATATTCAAAAGAACGTCTAAATCTTAAGCTTTCTTTTGAATATTAATTTATCGAAATAGCCTCGAGATATAGGTTGTGAAAGTTAAGGGATTGCCTTTTTTAAAATGTTAATCTGCTGATTTCTATTGACGGCAGCCCATATAGTATATATTTTGACTAGACATTCTCTTGAACACGACAATTGATCATGATTAATTATAATTATTAAATTTAGCCTTTATTTAAGCCTAAGCTAATATCGACTATATCGACCAAATTACAAATTTTGTCGCCTTTTTTTTTCTTTTTTTTTTGTTTTTTTTTTTTTAAAAAAAATATCAAATCCATTGATAATTGCAAAAATTAAAGGTTCTTTTTATAAAATTATTAGGTGGGATAAAATTAGAAAGAAAAAAAAGTTATTCTTTATATAATGTATAATTCGTATTAAATAAAATAACTTCGTTTTTTTTTTTTTTTTTGCTTTTTTTTATAAACTAAATTAATTACGAATCACACTTGTTATCAGTACATACTGACTAGATCTACGCACAATAAAATATGTAGAGAAATAAATGTTGACTCTGATCATTAATTAGTCATTAGTTAAATCTTATACCAAAACCTGTGCATTTCAATATTTGATGAGTGAATTCCAATATCAGACTTTCTTTGTAATGTAATTATTATAATTAGTATGTGTTGTACTATAAGATGGTGGTATCAAACTGATCAATGGAACTGTATGCCCATTCCTATTAATTGTAGGAACGTGAGAAGTAGGTCTAGGTCGACGAGAATGAGAAGGTGGTGGAGGATTTATAAAAGACGATGAATTATTTAATTGATTATATGAGTTTTGAGATGGTGATGAAATTGAAATAAGAGGTTCGATTGCATTTGTTGACCGTCTTTTTGTTAGAGTTGGTAAATGTGGGGAAAAATTATTGTTCGAATTTTGTGATGGTGGTGTGATTGAAATTAAAGGATCAATATCATTGATCGAACGTCTTTTTATTGGAGTTGGTGAACGTGAAGAGAGATTACTATTTGAACTATTGGATGAACTATTGGATCTTGGAGATGGTGGTTTAACTGAAAACAAAGGATCAACATCATTAATCGAACGTCTTTTCGTTGGAGAACGTAATGAAAGACTATTATGAAACGAACGTGGTTGAAAATTATGATGCGGTGGTGCAGTCAAAAGTGAAGATGAACTATTTGACGAATTTTTTTTTGTTGGGGTTGGTGGACCTGATGAAAGATTATTATTAATATTATTAGTAGTTAAAGTCCTTGAATTAAGCCAACTATCTGATGGAATCGTGGAGCTACGTTTTGGATTAGGACGTGAAGGGGCTGATGACGATAATAAACTATCATAACTTTTACTAGCCTTAATGTTAAGGCCATTATTCTGAATTAAAGTGGTTGGTTTGGATTTAGGTTGATAAACAGGTTTATCCGGCGTCAACATTAGATTTACTGAAGAGCGTTTATTACTACCAGAGTAGTTGTATGATTTAGAATTTCCACTACTTTTCAGTTTTTCAGCCTCTTTTCTACAAGCCATTCCGCAGTAATCAACTTTCCTACCATTTGAAAGGATTAACCTTGGTGAAATCCCACAGTGACGACATCTTTCTCTATCAACTAAACCAAGAACATAAGCTTCTTTTCTACAATTTTCTGAACAAAATCTACTTCTCGGTTCTGATGATAGTGATAGTCTATCTGTATCTATGGGAGTAACTTTACATACATCGCAAAACGTCAAATATTCCATCTCGTTTTTGCGTTATATGCGTGTAAATAAATGAATGAATAAATATGATGACATATGCACGGTCGGATAAGTCGTCTCGTTGATTGAAGAAAAAAAAAAAAAAAAAAAAAAGTGAGAGGCATATCATATATTCTTGCTATATAAAAGTATGATGATTGTGAAAGTTGCGGGGTCTCACACCTTACACGACAATAATTGGTGCTATATAAGGGCATGTAATTTATTTATTTTTTGTTTGTTATGCATAATATTTCCCAAATAATGACCTATCAAATTCACAATAGAAACTTATTCTTATCACATGTAACTTCATTATGCGTAATTTGTCAAATAATAGAAATTTAAAGTACCTCCCACAGAAAATACACCAATAAATGTCTTGTATATGCAAAGTTTATTGCATTCGATTCTGTGGCAACAAAGCTAAAAGTTCTATAGGTTGAATTTAAGAATATTTCTATTTATAATTTAATAATGCAAATTCCAACAAAGCTAAAGAGTTACATTGATTAAATTTAAATTCATAATATATTTGTATTATTATATATAAAAAATAATGTAAATTTTGAACCTCTAAACATAATTAATAATTAATAATGATTAACGTTAAAAATTCGATCTTCGACACTCAATGGAAGATAAATTATGATGAAAAAAATAAAAATATTAAGATAAAAATTGGAAATACGTCTATCTATGTAGTAATTTAAACCATTATTTAGTATCAACAGTTTGAATAATTAATGTTAACATCCACTAAGTTTACCAGCTTGATACGCTAATAGCATAGAAGCAAACATTATACCAAGTTGTTTGTAATCAAATTTGATTTGTTCTGACAAAACAATTAAGTCACTCCTTTGTTTATACATTTTCGATGATTCTTTATGTTCTACATTATCACTGTTCTTATTATGATTAATTTCGATATTATTAATCTCGGTTGGAAGGGATATTTTCTTGGAGGTACTTGGTTGTATGCTAGCCTGCTTTAAGAGATGAGAAGTTTTATAAAATTTATGGCTTGTCGATGACAAAAAAAAAAATAAAATAATAGTAATAATAATAATAATAGATATTTACTTTGCTTATTTGTTGATCTTGGTGCATTTGAGGTACTTCTCGTGTTCTTTTTGATTGTACATCAATCTATTGTAGGAATGAAAAGTTTTTATGAGTATCTATGGTTTATCGGTTATGAAAGTATTAGCGTGTTTACCTTGCTTATTGATGCAGTGCTAAGCTTATTGTCTCTATTTTCATTCTTATATATTGGCCTCAATAATTTGGATCCATTGTATGTAATTTGACCATCTCTAGATGAGTTCTTAGTTATTAATATAGATAATTCTTTTGCATTAATACCGGCCGGAACGGTGATACAGAAAACACCATTATCATTTGGATGCAAGTCAACCATAACATCCGTCGGTCGAATAGAAATGTTAAAACCATTAGGATACATTTTATTTGATGTTCGAAGTTCCGTAATTCCTTTTTCTTCACCATTATTTGTCAATATTAAATCATACTGAAAGTTGTCTGTATTAAACTCCTCGTGTATTATTTCTCCAGTTGTATGTCGAATATACGGTGGAAATCCAATATTTTTCAATAACTCATCAATCTTAACAACGCACATTGGCGTCTGCATTGAAATTGACTTCAGGATTCTCGATGGAACTGAGTCAAGTTTAATATCAATGTCAACAATATATTTAAGATCAACTGCGGTTCTGTTACCAGCACTATCATAGATAGGTCGTAATTCCCATCCAGCGAGATTTAACTCTGCCCGAATATATTTTTTGTTTTCGGGAATTTTGGAATCAACAATCGATTTAGCGACACACCAGATCGTACCATCCGGATCACGTTCAATCGTACAAATCATCGCAAAATCACGACCACTAAAAAGAAATTAAAATTATTTAGTTACATTTCCCTGTAATACATTTTTCTGTTAAGAATGCAATGTATCCGTAATTTATATTTATATATTTAGCAACTGAAACAGGGGAATATATAGTACATATATTACAGAGAACCTTCTAAATGCACTCTTCAAACTGGATATATAAGGTGCATTTTAGGAGGGGTTTATGTTTACCTGATGGGGAAGGTACCTTTCATAGCTGATCTAGTCATCACATTGGTAAGGCTATATCGTTCAATTGTAGAACCTTCTTCGTATCGATCATCCCCTGTATCGTGTATCGATGTCAATAAAATACAAGATTATACCAAAATTTTAAAACAATGACTTGTAAATAACCTACACAATTTTCTCGCGTCTAAAGAGGTGGTATATGAACAAATGTCTTCTGGAAGAAAATCACCGTAGATAGTAATATCCCCACGCATACATGGTACAGATTTGCCAGGAGCATCCTTTAGGTAAACCTTGACTCCCTTGCTTTCTGAATACAATTCCCAACTACTTTGGTCTCTTGCCAATGATTTAAGCAACCTGATAGCCTCCAACGCGGTATCGTGATGAGGATGTAATTTCACTTTTTTTACAGTCGGCATTTCTAATACAGGTGGATCCGATTTAGGTTCTTGAGACAACTTAGGATTATTTTCGGACAATAAAATAGGGAGGTGTGACAAAGGAATAGTAAAGTCTTTGAATCCATGTTCAGGAGTATGCTCAGATGATGAGGGAAGAGATGACTGATCATGATCCTTAGATATGAGTTTAGAATTTTCTTCATGATTACCTTCTGGTTCATTTGGTTGGTCAACTGGAACTACCGGAGTATTTAAATCAACTGACAAATTATCATTAAAGTTTAGTTCATTCCTATCTAGAAATAACGATGTATGAGCAGAAGCTGACGGCGTTGGAGGAAGTGATAATTCGGGTGCACCGTGCCTTTGCAGATAATTATTAATTTTATTAATGACAAGAGGACGTCTTGATAAATACTTTTTCGCGACTACCGTAGGAACCCATCCTTTAACATGAATTTGAACAACATATGTCACTCTTGTACGAGGTGGATTATTTGAAATAGGTTCAAGAATCCAGCCACTGAGACTGAGAAATGAACGAATTTTGCCATTTACAAATGGTATTTTTTCTGTATTAATTGATGTAGATACAAAATAGATTGTTCCATTCGAATTCCATTCAACTTTTTCTAACAAAGATAAATCTCGAGCCCTGTTTTTTTTTTTTTTTTTTTGTATATATATATATATTTCAGAATAATAAATTATTACATATATATTTTTATTTCGCATGCAGTCTTTTGATATATGATTTACCTTGACCCAGAAATTCCTTGCATAATCATATATGTTAAGCTCGTTGTATCGTCCAAATTTTCAATTACGCTTCCATCCTCAAACCTATAAATATTTTTATTATTTTATTTGTTATTTGTTATTGTTATTGTTATTGACTACTCAAAGAAATGAGACGAAATAAATAATCTGCACCAGTCATCCCAGAGCCTCCTACTTCCGATAACGGTAAAAATTGATAACGGATTAAAACCTTTAATTTCACATTGACCCATAAATATCGGAAGTTTGGTATTTCTTGAGGTTCCTAGTTTACTGTAAACAATAATATTTTTGTGTTTAATTATCTTTTTCCAACCAAGTTCTCTGACTACGATTTTCAAATCATTTAAGGATTGTTTGGCTTTTTCTATATAATGTTGAGTCGTTGCTTTTGGGAGGACAACCGTCTTTACATGATGCTCATTTGATTCTTCACTTTCATCATCCAAATATTCATCCAAGTACTCATCCACAGTTTTTTTATCATCATATTCAATATCATCAAAACCCTTGTTATCTTCCATTGTATCTATTTATTAATTTATTAATATTATTTTAATATGAATCAAAAAGAAGGAAATGTTAATTGAATCAGAATTTCTTCAGAAAACAAGACTAGAATATAACGAAGTTTCAGTGGAATGAGACTATTTGGTATGAAAATTATAGATAAATGAGTTTAATTATTGTTGCCGGATTTCATGAAAATTTTCATCCAAGGATAAAAGTGAGATAGCAACTTAAGTTGCCGCAACAAACATTTTATTGTCATCAACATTGATTCAAAGATTCTCCGGAGGTATCAACATATTTGGATTAGATTTAAATCATATTGATAATCATTTCCTCGTGCCTTAAATAAAGTCTCATGGAGATAGATTATTTTTGGTGTATATAATGCTACTCAAAATTGATGAGCTCATTCTCCACATTCTTTACTTGGCTCATTTCACTGACAATCGATTCATTGACAAAGTTAAAGATAGACCATATGAATATTGATTGGTGAACCCGTCTTGACAATTCATGTAAAAATGGATTCCAAAGTTTTGGATCGGAAACTTGGACTTTTGACATCTTTTAATTATGTAAAATATAATTTACATGTAGTTGAGAAATCATCATTTTTCATAAGTGTACATTCAGAATTAAAATTAAATTATTACTCATTTCTGTGAAACAAATATGCCAAAATTATTTTATTCTATTGTCTAATATTATTTTATAACTCTTCTTTATCTTAAAAGCCAAAAAATTTTCAACAAATCGATATTTGCCTATGCAGATAGAATATGATTATATTATAAATTCAAAGGACTACTTGTAAAAAATTTTAATATGAGCATTTCATCCAAATTTTAGGTACTGTACTGTATATATGTAATTTATCATTTCGAACAACTTTTCTAATATGTGAAAATTTAATTTACTTAATAAATATCTAAACTCTATATATTGCAATAATTTACTATTCTTAACGTTAATTAATAAAAGGTCTTTTGATCGTTGTTACGTAGTGTAGTCGATGATCATACTGTATATGACTTGCTATGTAAATCAAATTATATGGTTTTTACTTATATATGCAGTTCAATAAGATTCATTTAAATTTTTGTAAAAACCAATAATATCTCTATAAATGAGGCTATATAGTATCTTTTTTTTTAATTTATATATTAAAAAGATCAAAATGGCAATTTAAAATTCTTTATTACAGCTTTAAAGATGTACAGTAATTAGTGAGAAAAATTTCCTTAATCGATTAACCGAATCGAATTATTTCATTCAACCGGTTGCCAACCGATTAAGATTAATACCTTCGGAAATTCTTGGAGCTTTACTCTAATTTTTGTCTCAACCTTCTCGTCTTTTATGTTCATTTTATATTTTCGGAACTTTTCGAATCCTTTACTCTCTCCTTACATCATTTTGTCATTTTCATACTATATCAATCTCGCCAATCGGTTGTACCGGATCAGCCGATTAAGAATTTCCTCAACCGGTTACCCTCGGTTCGGGCCGGTTAACAGATTCAAGTCACTAATCTAGAGTTCCATTAAAGCTGTACATCTATCTAAGTATTTTGCGAAGAATTAAAATTGGGAGGGACTAACATGAGGTTAGTTCCAACGTGAGGTTAATTAGTATTTTTTATAATTACTAATCATCGGCGGACTTTAAATACTAATTGACCTCACGTTAGAACCAACCTCATGTTGGACCCTCACAATTTATTTATTTATAATATACCGTAAAACCAATGGGCGGATTGTGCTCATTTTGTGATATCTAAATAAGATCAACCTGCAATAAGATAGTCTAATTGTGATTATGTATCTTATTATTTTATATATGACTAAATAAGCTGAAATTAATATTATCATTATTATAACACTTATTTTATTGTGATCATTTTTGATATCACAAAATGAGCACAATCCGCCCATATGATACTTTAATAATTGTTCTATAATCACTACTTAATCTGTGAATAACAAGCGTTTTCGGAAACTTGTTTTTCGCTGAAAGTAGCGATTATACGTCGTTAAATCACTGTCATGACATCATACAAAACGGATGACACCATTATATCTCATTACGGAAAAATATAATTGCTAATTAATTTACATAACTGATAGTGCATCGCACACCCAGTGCCACATGTCAATTGACAAAATAAATTGCCATTTAGAAGTTCAAAATAAATGCATTAGAAGTTATTATAAAGTTACATAGTTAAATACATCATTATTATTTAAAATCAATTTTTTGTTAACCAATTTAACTATCGTTGTTTATAAAACCTTTACAATTTTTTTAGATACTGTTGACTCCAAAATCGATTCTATCAAAAACAGATAACCTGTCATTTCTAATACAGTATAGTCAAGTAATTATATAATAATTTAGCCTATTAAATCAATCATAGCATCAACTTGTTTACTTTTAATAATCTTATTGGTTTTATTAATTAAATAAGTAATACTGTACAGTATATATTTATTTTAAATAATATAGCATTTTATACCCTGGTCACTATATCAAGATCGCAGGGCATAAATCAGTTATGTCCTGGGCACTATGTGATAAGCGGGGCTGAAAGTCCCGCTTATACCCAACTGCCCAGGAAATAACTATTACATATATTTTATTAAAAATATTTTAATGGTTTACTTATTTTTTTAGCTATAAGCTAAGTGCTCCTAGGTCCGGTCCGGTCCGGCCCGGGATCGAACCAGACTCAGACTCTAGTTTCGAACTTCAGACTTAATTATGAGTCCGGTCCGGGTCTGGTTCGAAGTTTGCAAACTAGCTCGAGTCCGAATATATATATATATATTGGTGCTAAACAAATTAGTCTGAAGTTTGCAAACATGTCCGGTATGTCTTTTGTGGCTTAGCTCACAAACCTGCTCACATGATGCAAAAAACATACCAGACCGGACCGGACATGTTTGCAATTGGACTCGTCCAAAAAAACATTACCCGGGTAACCTGGCGGGTAAACCTAGTGTTGGAGATAGAATTAATTTGGCAAATTACAGCTGTTTTCATAAATTTTGGGACATCTGGTAAAAAATTGACCGAATGTTTGGCCGATTCGTTAAGTTTATGATTTTGACATTTTCAAAGTATATTCATTATTGCTTCAGATAAGTTGGATGCTATATAAATTTAGTTGCTATTACTTCAGATAAGTTGGATATTTCAGTAGTGACGAGTTAGAAATTTTTAAAATGTTTACTATAGATTAAGGCTCCTTAGTTGTTAGATCAACCGTTTCAATAATTTCATCTGATTCGTTCCACAGTATTTTTATAACAATCGTTATAATCTAAATTAAATCTTTTAAATAAAATAACACATAAATTTTTGCTTTAATTTTGTTGATTATAATTCTCATTGCAGCTGCGATAATTATTAATAAAATCTTGTCTGTTTGGAATTTCCTAGTCGTCAATAAATTTGTTCAGACTTTTTTTTTTTTTTAATAACGTCTGCTTATGTATTATATTTATTATGATTATTCGGAACCTTTTTTATATTTTGTATTAAGATCTGTTGGTATCATCGTCATAAATTTTCATGCCAAACACATCAAACATATATACTGGACATGCATTCAAGCGAAAATTTTTAATTTTAAATGTGTTGACATTGTAGTTCAGAATATTATCGCTATATTGAAATATATATATACTATCATGCCCAAATCACTGCTGAATCAAAACTTATCGAAGCGGCCCAATATCATTCGGTCAATTTTTCACCAGATGTCCCAAAATTTATGAAAACAGCTGTAATACGGTTACAGCATGTGCTGTATTATTTGTCATAATTACTTTGCGCCGTAATGTTGCAATGCCGTAATGCTGCAAATAGCACGGAATAACATAGGATAACATTCCGCTAGTGTTTATTGTTCAAAGTAATTTTTAGAATTAAGATAACACACAGTAAATTTACTGGTTTTGTGAATAAGTAATCAAGTTCATAGCGAAGAATCTAAAATTTTTTTTTACTGTTCAGTCAAGGTTATTTCTTATCCTAAATTGTTCTATATTTTTACTATGTAATATGAAAGCAATTAACGATTGGCGTAAATGCTCAAGCTGCAGATCTACAATGTTTCATGATTAAATTGGTAACAGTAAAGCACGTTATGTTATTTCAGTTATGGTTGATGAATAATTAAGATTGGTTATTAATTTAAAGAAATTGGTGTTAAAAAGAATGAATACAAAGCATTCAAATATATTATCAAAAATCTGGTAGTAATTTAATTTTAAACTATAACACCAACTCTAACTTAAGATGAGTGTTTAACCATATAATTAAGTTCCTTTTCTTTAAACTAACTAAACTTGTTGGTCAGTGAATTAAGTGTTGGTGAAATAAATGTACCGGTAAAATAGACATGTCGATAATTAATCGTCAGTGATTTAAATGTCTGTTAAATAAATTTTTTGCGAAGTCTTGTGTCTCAAAAGGAGCATCAGTAAAGTGAGCGGAACTAGTTTAATAAATAACATCAAGTTAACTTGATTAAATTAATGTGAAATTAAGTTGCAGTATAATAAGCATAAAGGGTTAATCACATTTATTGTTAATTACTTTTTAAACTATATAACATGAATTGCCAAATATGTATACTGTTTAATTTGATACGTACGTATTCGTAATCCCAAATTTGATCTTTATTTCTTAAAAATATGTTAATTTTGAAAGACCTAATAAAGATTCACTACTTTCTTAAAGTATACTGATTAATACAGTAATAAATTAGTGACGCCAAGAGAAATGCTTACGTAATAGCATACAAAAAATAACAAAAAGAAAAAATCTATGATCATAAGAGTTTGCACGATAATAATTATTAATTATTAATCAATTAGCCGAGTTATTAACTAGAAACTACTTGATAATGTGCAGTACAGTATCATTCTCTATTTCATTAAATTTATCAGACTTTAAGGTATAATTTTATATATACTGTAATATGCGACTTTCTAATGTAATCACACAGGGATTATTAGCAATAATCAAATTAAATCAAATTATTACTAGTTAATAATTTTAGTAATTATTTATTATTAATTAAAACTCAAAAGAAGTCCAGTATCTAAAGTTATAAAATTATAATGATGTATATATAGAGGTCCTATCCGGATAAATCTGCCATCTATTTATCTGCGTTATTAGATCCAGATATCTATCTGATTATATTAGATATCCAAAAAATTTATCCAGATTATCTAATATATCTGTAACAGATATCTAACAGATATCCAAACAGATATCTAAACAGATAAATATATTTAGAAACCCCCTTGCATATTTTTATGTACCCCTTGCATAATTGTGCATAATTGTGCATATTTTATGCATAATTATGTAGGATTATGCAAGGGTGTATAAAAATATACAAGGGGTTTTCAAATAATGCCTTACATAATATTGCATTTCTTGCATAGACAATTTAGATAATCTATTGAATGACCAGATATCTATCTATTAATCTATTTTAACTGTTTATCTATAAAAATCAGATATTCAATAAATAAATAGATAAACAG